AGCAAGTATGTGGTCTATTTTGGAGAATGACCTGTGTGCAGCTGAAAAGAATGTGTATTCTGATTTTGTTGGGTGGAAGACTCTGTAAACATCTGCTAAGTTCATATGATCAAGAGTTTGTTTGAGTTGTAGTATTTCTTTGCTTGTTTTTTGTCTAGTTTATCTATCTATTTGTGACAATGGGGTATTGAGGTCCTCCAGTACTATTGCATTAGTGCTTATATGGTTTTTCATATCCATTAGTATCTGTTTTATATAGTTGGGTGCACTAGTGTTTGGTGCATAGATATTTATGATTGTCATCTCTTCCTCTTGGACTGTTCCCTTTACAAGGATATAGTGTCCTTCTTCATCTCTCTTAATCAGTGTGGGTTTGAAATCTGCAAAGAGGATAGGTACTCCTGCTTTTATTCGGGTTCCCGTCATATGGAGTATATTTTTCCACCCTTTAACTTTCAGTGTATGAGTTTCTTTTTGAATTAAGTGTGTTTCTTGTATGCAGCATGTTGTTGGATCTTGCTTCTTGACCCATTCTGCCAGTCTTCTATTTCTTTTGATTGGTGAGTTGATACTATTAACATTGATGGTTATAAGTGATACATATTATCATTGTCTTGACTTTTTCTTTTGTTTGATTTTCCCCCTTTACTTTTAATTTCTTGTCATTCCTGGTGGATACATTCTGCTAGGCTTTCTGACATTGTGATCCTCATTGTCTTTTCCTAGGATTTTGTCTAAAATTTTTTGGAGTGCTGGTTTGGTATTCATGAAGTTCCTAAGGTCTCTTTGTCATGAAAGTATCTTATTTCACCATCAATCTTGAAATATACTTTTACAGGGTACATCAATCTGGGTTGGAGGTTGTTTTCCTTTAGGGCTTGAAACACATCACTCCAAGCTCTTCTTGCCTTGAGTGTTTCCACTGAGAAGTCTGCTGTGATTCTGATGGGCTTTCCTTTGTATGTGATTTGTGTCTTTTCTCTAACTTCTTGTAGAATGTTTTTCTTCTGTTGGGTTTCTGGAATCTTAACAATTATATGCCTATGTGTAGATTTTTTTTTATCAAGGCTAGTTTGAGTCCTATATGCCTCACTTATCTGTATGTCAAATTCTTTTCCCCTCCTTGGGAAGTTTTCTGCCATCACTTCTGTGAACAGTTTCAGTTTTTTTTTTTTTTATGTCACTTGCACTCTCTCCTATTTCTTCTTTGACTCCAATCAGCCTTATGTTATTCTTCTTTGCATTTTCTAGCAGGTTCTGGATTGATTTCTCATGTTCCCCTGCTATTTTAAAGCAATTTTTCTTTTCCTGGTCACTAATTACAACCTTATCTTCTATATCTGAAATTCTGTCTTCACATTGGCTCATTCTGCCACACAGACTTTCGATGGAGTTTTTAATCTCCTGGAAATCTGTTTGCATCTGTTTTATGGATTCAATTTGTTTCCTATGTTGGGATTCCATCATGTTTCTCAGCTCCTCTATTTTTTATCTGTATCCTCTCTAGATTTATTAATCATGTCTTGCACTATGGGTACAATCTTTGCTGTTATGTGAGAAATTATTTCTGATTTCATTTTTTCCAGATACTCTTTCATTGCTAGTTCAGAGTCCAGGTGGTTGAGTATCAGAGTGTTCCATCTCGTTTCCCTTTTGTGTTGCTGTAGGTGATCTGGAAGTCTGGTTCTGTAGCTCGTTTACCTGTCTTCTCATTTTGACTCGGGTGTGTGTGTGTGTGTGTGTGTGTGTGTGTGTGTGTGTGTGTTCCTGGAGGCTGCGAGGCTCACCTCCTCTGTGCTGGGTGCTTTGGCACATCTACCCAGAAGCCTCCTCCTGCCTTGGTGCTGTGGCGCACTGATCTGGAAGTCTTCTCTGGGCTGGGAGCTGTAGCACTCCAACCTGGAGGCCCCCTCTGTGCTGGGAGCTGTGGCATGCCAATCTGGCCATCTTATTTATTAATTTACTTCCTTATAGAAAATTTTTCTGACAAATAGGGGTAGGCAAATGAAAATGAAACCTAAACTCTAGTTGGATGTATTCAAAATTCTAAACTAATGAGATTATACTGTACTTGAATTTATTTATAATTAAATCACTGTCACTCCCTGGACTCTCCAGCCTCTTAAGGTGCTGTTTCTTGCTTGCGATGCTCTCCTTCAGCATAAGCAGCCAGACATTTAACCTTGAGTTACAGAGATTGGGGCTGACAGGGCCTGTGCAGCAGCCTCTCCCTTTGGTAAATGACGTGGCATCGAGTTCATCTCACACAGGTCCTGCTCACAAGTCCTCACTATCAGATAATCATGTCAATGAATCTGCCAGTTATTCAGGCCTGAGCAGGAGACATCTATACCACACAAAACCTCAACTGTTTTTCAAAGATAAGGTCATAGGTGACATTCTTGTTTCAACAGAGAACTATCAGCCATGTCCCTTCACTAAGTAGCAGCTAATAAACATCTGGGTAATGGGTTTTGCCTGGCATTATTGGAAACTGGAACCCCATGTGATACAAAAATGAGCTGAAAGGGGTTTTAGAAATTCAACATTTTGAGAAACTGGTTCATCAGCTATCCATTTAACTCTAATCACAGGATCTTAATCATACAGAGGGACTGATACAATGAAGAGGAAACTATAAGGAGAGGGTTACAATTTAGATAAAAAATATTCCCAAAGGCATTATGTGTTTAAAAGTAGATACTTTGGAAGGTGATTATATCATCAGGGCCCTAACCTCATCAGGGAGTAATCCAGTGATGAATTCATAACTGAATGGGCTGTTAGCAGGTAGGGGCTGGTTAGAAGAAATCAGTCACTGAGGACATAATCAGGAAGGGTATATTCCTGGTAGCTTCCTCTCTCTCTGGCTCTTTTCCTCTCTGCTTCCCAGCTGCTTTGAGATGAGAAGCTTTCTTCCATCACACCTCTCTGCCATGGAGCCAGCTGGCCATGGACTGAAACCTCTGAAACTGTGAACTAAAATAAATGTTTTCTCCTTTAAATTGAGTATGTCAGGTATTCTATCCTAGTAACCGGAAAATGACTAATACAGAGAATAGCCTTTATGAGTGCAGACTATCACCAAGAATGGTGAAACTGAATGCTGGCTGAATTCCAAGGGCTTATGGGTCATTTCATTCCAAGTGATCTCCTTTACAAACATGGAAAACTAGCCAGTCACCATCAGTGATGTGTTGCAGCTGACTTAGATCATAAAGAGAGCTAACCATACACAGTTCTTCCCACATCCTCCTTCAGTGATTTCACCCTGGTAGCTTGGAGTCAAAATATGGTGGGAGTTTTTATACCATGGAAACGGGTACATGCTGTACACAAATCAGTTCCCCCTATACTCCAAATGAGCCAGTAGGTAAATATTTACCTGCTCACCAGTGGTACCACCTCATCTTGTTTTTGTTTTCACAAGTTTAGTGGCAATTGTTCCCTAGGGAAACCCCATGGACACATACTCACTGACCTGGGCTCGGTTGGTATACAGCACTTTCATATCCTTCATTTTGTCCAAGCCCTCATTGTAGTGCAGGATGGCTGTCTCATAGTCACCTTTGGCAAAGGCTTTGTTCCCCTGTTCTTTTAGGGCTATAAGAATAAAAATCACACAGATGAGTTTTCACCACAGAGCAAAAAACCCTTCTAACTGCAGCCCCCTGATTTTCCAACTCTACTCTGAAGGTCCTAGCTGCCACCGACCCAAAAGGCAATTGTCACTTATTTCTCTGCAGATATTTCAGGGCTTGTTTCTTTGTTTTTTCCTTCAAATCCCCCCTAAGCATTCTAAGTACTTTTTCAAAGAAAGTGACTCTTTGTACATCAGGGTTCTGAATCATTCCAAGCTTGCCAGAGACTAAGGTTACACATTCATGCAAAAAACTGAAATTCTTTAGACCCAAGGATGCACGAATCTGTGCAGTTACCAGCAGGAAAATGTTACATAAATTAAGCACCTTCTTCAACTTTATCAATGAGATTAAAAACTCTAATTTTAATATTCAAAGCTTTGATAAATAAACATTTTATCAGATACTGTCAAGGTCTACAGAGGACCACACTGGGAGACCTAGATGATGAGAGAGTGGGTAGCAAGGCTCTGGGGTTTCTCATCCTTATTTAGAAAGGGTTTAAAAATTAGAACAGAACTCCATTATGCAATAATTTTTTTGAATATGTATTTATGCTTAAGTTACTAATATAAAAATTATATGTGATTTTCATTGTATAGTGTTAATGTATTCCTTTCATGTGAATGATTATCTTGGGAAAACTTTCATTGTCAAGTAATGGATTATTTAATAAGTGATGTCTGTCTAGAAAAAAACAAGAGGAGGTCATATAATTTTCTAATAAGTATAGGTAGAATCATTCACATCTGCAACTGCTGGGTTGCATACTGCTGGGTAGTATAAGATAATACTTAAAGTATTCTTTTGACTATGTATCTTACTCCCCACACATATAGAATGTGTCTTTCTTTTATTTTGTTTCTCTTCTCTTTCTACATCTTTGTTTTTCTTTTTTCATTTTTCTGACTTACTCAGGCTTGCCAGTGGAGCCTCACTCCCATCTTGCCATACTTCCTAACCAGTGTGTAGGAATCTGATCCACTAAACCCACCCATATGCTTTAGAAGGAGGCTGACTGCTCACTGCAAGAGAACCAGAGAACACAGAGCACTGATAATATCTGCCGGGCTAGGTCCCACCACCACAGGCCCATCATGAGACTACCACCTGGTGTCCTCAAACATTAACATACAGGCTCTCATGTATTCTTCCAGCCCCAACCATCTCAGCTACTGAAAAGGAAGGACAGACAATTACCATCTGCTAAGACTTTATTTTCCCGTCTTCTCTTGGCTCGCTCCTTTGCATCCTTCTCCACAGATGCCAAGAAGGCCTCTGACAACAGAGTAATATCAAATATTGGGAAGAAAAATCCAAATACTATAACCAGTCCTTTAGCTCAAATGCAGAAGAAAGGTACTTTAGAACTTTACAGCCACACTTCTTATGCATATACATGGAGGCACATGCACACATGTGCAGATACACACATCTGAGGCAACTACAATGACATTTTCTTAATTTGGCATTAAATGGAATCTGTGTAATGTATTATTATACATGATGGCTATGATTAGGCTTCAAATCTGAATTATGTCTTTTAAAAGAGGTTGTCTTTCAAAAGACTTTTTTTGTTCCACTTAGCATAATGAGTCTCGAAGCTGAGCAATAGAGGAAATATCTAGATCCCCTGAGTAGCTAAAAGTAAACTGAATAATACAGAATAACAAAATTCAGTTTACAGAAGATTGGCCAGTAGAAAGTACAGCACTGCCTTGGTTCACAAAATTCATTTGTTCAAGGATTCTGGGTACGTTCATGTTCTTGCTTGAAAGATGGCCATGGTCATGTTTGTCACCCCATAAAGAGTTCTCAAACAAAAACAAAATTTTGCCAAACTTTTCTGTTTGCAAACCAAATTGTTCACAAAAAAAAGCGTTTGTGAAACCAAGGTACCACTGTAGAGAAAAAGCCTCTAAATGCAGTCTGACCGCTAGTACTAGAAGTGGGTGATCAAAGGGTTTTTGTTCATGAGTTGTTTGTAAGCCATGAGGCTATAATTTAAGAACCTGGAAATCACAATCAATAAAACCTGCTCTTAAGTAAAAAATACACATTGGGAAGAGAGATGCTTTTCTTACCTGGCTTTAATTCATCTGCATTCTGCAAGACATAGGTAATCATAAAAAACAAAGAAACAAATTTCAAAAACCACTCTATGATGAACACATATGTAAACTAAAAAGACGAATCAGTTAGAAATGAGAAGTTGGGTCGTTTTTCTAAACACCAACACTGAAAGGTCCAAAAATTCAGAGGCCTGGCATAACATTAGGAGATCTGATTGTGGGCACAATGTGGCTGAGTCTGCAGGATCAAGGCTGCCCCAGTCAAGGGACCCTAGCTATAGCTGTATGTGTTGGGAACAGAATTAGTAGAACATATTATCTTAGCAATATAGTTTAAATATGGTACACAAGCTTAGGAGGAAGAGAGAATGAACATTCATTTAAATAAACTCACAGGGCTGCTTAAAGATGACCCAGGAAGGCCAATGTGGGGAAAATCAGAGTTTATACTTCCTCATGGAAAATTAATCTAGTGAATCTGAGAGAGAAACAAATGACCATTTTACAGCTTTACTAGACATTTTGAGATTACATTATTGCCTCAAAAGAAAACTTTGTGATGTCTCCACTTATATGACTCCGTAACAGAAAAGGAAATCTTTACAGCAGCTTGGGGAGGGCTTATCATGGTCTTGTTCAAGGTTGTCCTGCACTCATCCTCCTCTTGAGCTTCCTCCATCAGCATCAGTCTCTTTTCTGTCTGGTGCACAGCTTTCTGTTGTATAACTGGGTCATCAGAATTCAGCTCCTGAATTAAAGTGGCTAGAGGAGAAATCAGATATGAGTCAATCAAACAAGGTCTTCAAAAGGAAAGAGTCCATTCATTAGAAAGGATGCTGTAGAAAATTAATGGGGAAGATCTCAGAGTAAGAAAACAAGCCAGTTGAAAGTGAAACAGAGCAATTAGAACCAACATGAGACAATTAAACACAAGATTTGTTTTGTCTGGGAAAAGCTACAAAAGAATTTAACCCTGGGCTTCAAGGAAAGGGTTTTAAGCCATTATTCAATTCAACTATAATTTATGTAGAGCTTATTAGGAGTTAGACTTTTCTCCTAAAGGCTATTGATAAAAATGAATTCAAAAGATTTTTTTTAAGAGCTTATGATCTTGTGCTGGAGACAAACATGCACATAACCACAAGCAAGTCTGAAATCACAAAGCAATGGCCCTTATGCCCCTCCTTCTCTCTTGACTATACTGCCTACCCAGATTAGAGAACTTGCTCTGTTAGTTGAAGGCCACCCTGCCCAATACTCAGCTGCCTTGCTAATCACCCTTCCACTCCCCCAACTCACAGATGAGTCTGTTCACCTTACTCTAACTCCAAATGAATCTTACCATCCATCTCTCTCAGTCTTTATTAGGAATGCTGAGTACTGGCAGAGAAAGACACATAAATGCCTTGGGGAATTGGTGCCAACCAACTGGACATTCAGTGAGGCCCAGTGATCTGTGTCACGCTAGGCATGACATCTTAGGTATGGCATCCTATTATTCTCCCAAAGACTTCCATGTTTTCGGCAATCTACTTGCATTTCTCTCATGACCAGAGATCTTGAGCATTTATTCATTCAGACCAGAAAGGAATGACATCAGAAAGGAATTCTTTCAGCTTCCTACTATCAAATCTACAAAACTGCCTAAAAGCATGCCCATCTGTGCTTCCTACCACAAGGAACAAAGTTCTGCTCATCTTGTATGAGATTAATTGCTCATTCTGTGCTCAGGATCCCACCATTGTGTCTCACATGATCAAGAACTCTATAGTATCCATTAAATATCTCGTCTTGACAATATTTTCAACCTCTCCCATTTGCCCAGCTCCTATCTAAATGTATTTTTATTCTTTAAATGTTTCTCAATTCCATCCTTTCTCAATCCTATCCATTCTCCTTCAAAACTAAATTTCTTATTTTTCCCTTCCATTTCCTTTTCTCCCCCCACCTCTATGTCTGAATATTCTTCCCATCTGGGGAAAGATCTATCTTCCAGTTTCCTATGTTCTATCTTTTATTTTGTATCTTTAAAAATTATTTATACTTTGGGCTTCTCATATAAAAGGAATTGTGGAATATTTAAGCCTGTGTGTCTGATTTATTTCACTTAACATTATGGTTTTAAGGTGCATCCGTTTTCCTATAAATGACTCAAATTTATCCTTCATTATGTCAGAGTAGTAGTTCATTATATATAAATAACTCATTTTCTTTATCAATTCATCTGTTGATGGTTATATAGGCCACTTCTAAGCTTTAGATATTATGAATTGTGCTGCTATAAACATGGGGGTATATGTATCACTGTGTCAGGATATCTTTAACCCTTTTGGAAAGATACCAAGAAAGGGGACTAGCTAGGTTGAATGGAATTTCTATTTTTAGTTTTTTGAAGAATATCCATACTGATTTCCACAGTGGCTCTACTAGTTTACATTCCCACCAATAATGTAGAAGGGTGTCTTTTCCCTCACAGCATCACCAGAATTTGTTATTGTTGGGATTTTGGATGACAGCTACCCTTTCTGGAGTAAGATAGAATCTCAATGCTGTTTTAATTTGCATTTCCTGATGGCCAGAGATGTTGAGCATTTATTCATGCATTTATTGGCCATCTGTACTTCTTCTGAAAAGTGTTTATTCATTTCAGTTGCTCAGTTTTTTACTGGGTCTTTTATGGGGGGGTCTGTTTTTTTGAGTTCATTGTAGATTCAGATATTAGACTTTGTTAGAGTAGCTGGCAAAAAAATTTTCCCATTCTGCAGGTTGTCTTGTCATCCTATTCACTGTTTCTTTTGCTATGCAAAAGTTTCATAATTTGATACAATCTCATCTGTTGATTCTTGATGCTATTTCTTGTGCAATTGGGAATCTGTCTAGAAAGTCCTTTCCCATCTCTATGACTTCAAGAATTTTACCTATTTTATTTTCCAGTAGATTGAGTGTTTCTGCTTTAATATCTATTTCTTTGATTCACTTTTATTTTATTTTGGTGCATGGTGATATGGGTCAAGATTCAGTCTCCTAGGGCTAGAGATGTGGCACTGTGCCTGCCTTGCAAGCTCAAGGTCCTGAGTTCAATCCCTGGTACTGCCAAAAAAAAAAAAAATGATTCAGTCTTCTGCATGTGTGTAGCCAGTTTTCCCAGCAACACTTATTAAAGAGGCTTTCTTCCTATGTATGTTTCTGGCCCCTTTGTCAGAGATCAAATGTCTGAATGTCCCTGGGGTTATGTATTCATATTCTATTCTATTTCATTGATCCAGATGTCTGTTTTTGTGCTAGTGCCATACTTTCATCTTTCCTCCTTTGTTTTTGTTGCTTAGGATTGCTTTTGCTATTCTGGGTCTCTTCTGGTTCCATATAAATCTTAGGATAATGTTTTCTAGTTCAGTGAGGAATGCTGTTAGTATTTTGATTGAAATTAAATCTATATATCAGTTTTAGTAATCTGACCATTTTGACAATATTCATTCTTCCTATCCAGGAACACGGGATATCTTTTCATTTTCTAATGTCTTCATTGACCTCTTTTTTTTCAGAATGTGGCAGTTTTCATTGTAGAGGTCTTTCAATTCCTTGGTTAGGTTAATTCCTAAGTATTTAATTTTTCTTGATGCTATTGTGAATGATAGTGTTTTTGTAATTTCTTTCTGTCAGTTCATTATTGGTGTATAACAACACTACTGATTTTTGGGTATTGATTTTGCATCCTGCTACATTGCTGAATTTGTATATTGGTTCTAGGAGTCTTTTGGTGGAATTGTTCAGGTCTTTTATGTAGAGGATCATGTCATCTGTGAATAAGGATAGTTTGATTTCTTCCTTTCCTATGTATGCCCTTTTTATTTCTTTCTGTTACCTGAGTGGCCAAAATTTTGAGTGCTGTATTGAATACAAGTGGTGATAGTGAATATTCTTGCCTTGTTCATGATTTTAAAAGGAAAGCATTTAGTTTTTTCCCCATTTAGTATGATGTTGATAGTGGGTTTATCATAAATGGCTTTTATCAGGTTGAGATAAAGTGCTTCTATACCTATTTTCTTCAGAGTTTTTATCACGAATGAATTTTGGATTTTTCAAAGGTTTTTTCTGTGTGTACTGAGACAATCGTGATATATTGCATTTGTTGATTTGCATATGTTGAACCATCTTTGCATTTCTGAGATGAAGCCTACTTGGTGATGATGTGTAATCTTTTTGATGATTTGCTGCATTGTATTTGTCAGTATCCTGTTAAGGATTTTTTAATATATGTTCATAAAAGAGATTGGGCTCTTGTTTTCTTTTTTAGTTGGGTCCTTGTCTGGTTTTGGAGTCAGGGTAAAGCTACCTTCCAGGAATGAGACTGGAATTATTCCTACCCTTTCTATTCCATTAAAGTGTTTGAGAGTATTGGTGTTATATCCTCCTTAAAGTTCTTGTAGAATTCAGTGGTGACTCCATCGGATCCCTGGCTTACTTAGCTTGTAAGTATTTTATTACTGCTTCAATTTCATTGACCGTTATTGGATTATTGAGCGTTTTTATGTCTTCTTGGTTCAGTTTTGGTAATTCATGTTTCTTGGAATCCATCTATTTCTTCAAGGCACTCCAGTTAATTTTAATTCTTGTTAACATTTGCTACTGTTAAATTGTTGCCACCACAATGGATGGGGATGATAACTCATGAATGTTTTGATTTCCATTTTGCTGGATATGACTGGGATTGAATATTTACTTACTGGTTTGCAGACCATTTGGATTTCTTTCTCTTCTAAGAAGTGCATGTTCCTATCCTTGGATAGGGCCATTTGTCCCTTTTCTATTGGTTTATATGATTTCTTTATATACACTTAAGCATTTTCATGTATTTCTAAACTTCTCCATGAGTAGTCTGTCTGATCACTTGTTTTTATGAAAACTTTCACTGAAGAAATTTTAAAACTTTGTTTAATATGGTAAATACACCAATATTTTCCTTTATGATTTATGCCTTTTCTGCTGTTAAGCTTATAAATACACTTCCTATAGTGGCTTCTAAAGTCTTAACATTTTATTTTTCTCATTAATATATTAAATCCTCCTAGAGCTGATTTTTAGGTAGCACAGGAGCCTCATCTTCCGAGGATCCCTGTCTTCCCAATGGTGTACCTTGTCATTCCTGTTACATATGAAATCTCTTCTAGGCTCCCCATTCTCTTCCACTGCCTTGTTTGTCTTTTGCAGCACCAACATCTCCATGAATTAATTACTATAGCTTAATAATAAGTCTTGAACAGTGAGTAAGAAGAGTTGTTTCACTACTTTTTCCTGCAGAGCTTTCTTGGTTATTCTTGGTCCTTTGCTCTTCCATGTGCACTTTGGAATCAACTTATTGAATTTTAGCACAAGCCACTTTTGGGATTTTGATGTGAATTGTACTGACTGCATAAAATAATTTGAGAATTTATATGTTTACCAAATGAGTCTTCTCAGCCATGAAAAAATGTATCTTCATATACTTAGATATTCTTTTACGTCCTTTAATTAAAACTGTATTAACTAAACTCCATAATTTATTCTAACTTCATCAGTTGCTCTTTAATATCCTTTTTCAGTTCCAGTATGTCATCAAGGATAACACATTACATTTAGTCACACCTCCTTAGGCTTCTCTGGGCTGTGACAATTTCTCAACTTGTTTTCAATGACCTTGACAGTTTTGAGGCATAATGGTCGGGTCTTTTATAGACTGTCCCTCAATTTGGATTTATCCTGTATATTTCTCATAGTTAGCCTGATGTCACAGAATTTAGAGAGGAAGACTGCACTACATAATATCAAGGGTACATGCTACCAACGTGACTTATCTCAATGTTAACCTTGGTTGTTTGTCTAAGGTTGTATTTCTCAGCTTTTTTCCATTCAAAAGTCATTTTTCTCCCCTTTCTTTTTGTACTGTATTCTCAATTTTTTTTTTTTTTTTTGGTACTGGGGATCAAACTTGGAACATTGGACCTGCAAGGCAGGCGGTAGAACCACTGAACTAAATCCCTGGCCCTGTGTTGTATTCTTTGGAAGCAAGCCACTAAATGTATCTCATATTCAAAGATTTGAGGGTTATGATTCCCCTTGGAAGGAGCATCATCTATATAAATTATTTGGACTTCATCCAAATATGAGGTTGCCTTTTTCATTTACATATTTATTTATTTATTCTGTCACTTATTTATTTTTGTTCTGTTTTTTTCAGAGGGTTTTCCGTGTAATTTAGGTTGGCCTTGAATATACTATGGGCAGGCTAGCCTCAAATTCAGAGCAATCCTCTTCCCTCAGCCTCTTGAGTGCTGGGATTACAGATGTGCACCACCAGGCCAGGCCTTCAGTCATTTATTTTTATCAGTATGGACTCATGGATATTCATTTTATACTTTGTACTATAATCTAATGGTACATTATTTAATTTGTTCCTCAAATTTTTCCAGTTTTGACCACTGGGATCTCTTTCAATTAAATTTTATAATTTTATCCATGAAAAGCTCACATAACTTTGATAGATTTATTTTGAGATTGGTAAGTGAAGTCTTCACTTACATCAGAAATTAAAAACAGAACTAGCACATAATCTAGCAAATTTGTTTCTGGGTATACATCCAGAGGAAAAGAAGTCAGTATGTCAAAGAGATATCTGTTCTCCCATGCTCACTGCAGCACTAATCCCAGTAGGAAAACAGGGAATCACTCTTAAATTTCCACCAACAGATGAACAAAGAAAGTATGGTGTATATGTGTGCGCATGTGCACGCACGTGCGCGCAAACACACACACACAATGGAATTTACCCTTAAAACAACAAAAAAAATCTTGTCATTTGCAACAACATGAATGAACCTGGAGAACACTATACTAACTGAAACAAGCCAGGTACAGAAAGACAAGCACTGCACAATATCACTTAAAAACTCCTTGAAGCAATGTAAAATGGCAGTTACCAGAGGCTGGGGGTTGGGGATAGGGACATGTTAGTCAGAAAATATAAAGTTTCAGTCAAATGGGAGAGATAAGTTCTGCAACTTTATTGTACAGTATGGGACTAGCTAGTAATAATGTATGGTATACTTGAAAATTGTTAATAGAGTAGATCTTGTGTTCTCAACACAAAAAAAGGAGTTAGTATGAGAACTGATGGACAGATTAATTAGATTCATTTAATCGTTTTTTATAACATATACATAAACTAAAACATCACACTGCATGCCAAAAATATATATAATTTGTCAGTTAAACCTGAATAAAGCTGAGAAATTATTATGGCCTTTGCTTTACAGTCTCTTTGTCTGATATTAATATTCAATATCTGCTTTCTTTTGGATACTTATTTTCCATTTTTCAAGGTTTCAACTTTCCTGTGTCTTCAAGTTCAGGTGTGCTTCTTCTCAGCTCAGACTGTGCAAAGTTAATGCCCTGTGAACAACTTCCCTAGGACGTCGTAACTCACCAAACTTAACATATCCGTCTTCCCTTCCACTAAGTCTGTTCTGGTTCAAATGCCTTCTATCTCAGCTGTCACTCAGCTCTCAGGACGCATCCTGAGTCTTCATCTTCCCTCTGTCCTCACAGCTTCAAACACTAAAGCTTGGCAAGGATGACTTCTAAATACATCTCATACCCATGCCCTGTGTCCACTCCCACTGCCATGATTCAAAGCCCAGCCACTCCCCTACCCATCCTGCAGCACTGTAACAGCTTCCTCCCTGCTCTCTGGGCACTCTTTTCCTTCCCAGTGCAGACTGTATGCCAAACAGGGCTGAAGGCATTTTTCTATAGCATAAATCTGATCACGATCCTGCTCTGAGTAAATGCAACAAAGGAGTCCCACAGCTCTCTCACAAATTCCCTACTGTGACTTCCAAGGCCTTCCTTGGTCTGGCCTCTCCTCACTCAGATGGGACCCTTCTCTCCTTGCTCTCTTCTATTCAGCCTTATGGAGTTTTTCATCCTTCTGTTTCTAAAAGGCACCGACCTCTTGCTTAACTCCAGCTTTCCCCCTTCCTTACTTCCCATCTGGACCCCTCCTCAGCCTTCTCCTTAGTGGTGAATTCCTACTCACTCTTCAGATTTTGCTTAAATTTCACTTCTTCAGGGAAATCTTATTTGACTCATGATATAGACTGAATTGTGCTTCCCACAAAAAAAATATGTCAAGTCCCTGAGCCCCATATTTGGAGACTTGCAGACCAGACAGTCCTTTAAAGAGGTAATGAAATGAGATCATACAGGTAGGGCTCTGATCCAGTATAACTAGTATCCTTATAAAAATATCGACAGAGAGATGACCATGTGAGCACACAGCAACAGATGGCCTTCTACAAGCCAAGAATAGAGGCCTCAGATGAAATCAACCCTACCAACACTTTATCCTTGAAGTTCTAGTTTCCAGAACAGTGATAAAATATATCCCTGCTGGTTAAGCTTCCCAACCTGTGGTGTTTCGCTAAAGCTGCCCAAGCAGGCTAATACAACCCCCTAAACTGGGCTAGATTCTCCTGCACTTTGCAAATCTTTCTTTGTGTCACATATCACTTTGAAATTATTTAGCATCTGTTCCCCCACTTAACTATAGGTATTCTTTTATTATACTGTACAGTGCCTAGACATATCACAAGAACCCAAGAAATGAGTGTATAGAATTCATATACATGGGGCTACATAAATTTAAATTAGTAAAAAAATGAAATAAAAGTAGAAATTCAGTTCTTCATTTACACTGGCCACATTTTAATTGGTCAATAGCCACATGTGTCCAGTAAATAATGCAGATTACAGTGAACAATGCAATTCATTTCCATCATTGCAGCCAGTTCCACTGGACAATGCTGGTATAAATGATACCTGAGTGAACCTGAAGTCTGAATAAAAGACACATAAAGAAGAAGCAGAGGAAATAACAAAGACCAAGTGCAAGGTATAAAAGGCAGGGTTTGTGTGGCAACCACAGCAGTTTGCTGCTCTTCAAGTGAGAGGTAGGGACGTGAGAGAGGTGAGAGCAAAGTCATGTGGGGACGCAAGAGAGCTTGGGATTTATTGTGACTGAGAAGGAATCCAAGCAGAGAAGTGTCTGGGCCAGAACTGCATTTTAGATACATTACTCAGTGGGGAGTATATGCCTGGTGGCAAAAACAACAATTAAGGGTTGTTGAAATTCTGTTGAGAGGAACCAGAAGAAAGGGAGGGTTGGAGAGGATGGAGCTGGGCAGAGGCCAAACTTGAAAATGATTGGATGCAGAATGAAGAGGTGGGAGAAGTTAGTTAAGACTGGTAGATTTGTGGGTGGTGGCGCCACCCACTGAGATCAGAAGGGGATGGCAGGAGAGGCAGAGGTTCCATTTGGAGAGGGAGGGCAGAGGGGGAAAGAGGTGATGACTCAATGTTGTACACATGGAGCTTGAAGTATTTGTAGGATTTGGCGGATATGGCAGTTGGCTACAGAAGCTGAGGTTCTGAAAAGATGCCCAGGTTGCAATTAAGATGGGGAAGCAACTAGCAAACAGTTGGTGGCTATGTGCTTGCTTGAGCAGCACATATGCTAAAAAATTGGAACTATACAGAGCAGATTAGCATGGCCCCTGCAAGAACAGGTGGTGGCTAAAATCACATGAAGAGCCATGTGAGCTGTGGGCCATGGCCAGAACTCATAGAGCATTGTTTAGGGATGAGCAGAGGAGAGACTCACGAGAAACAAAAGGACACACTAGTATCTATCACTGTGAAGTTACCCAAACTATTTTTAAAATTCTTTGTATCTGTCCAGTGTGCTGGAAGCAGCATTTTAACATATTTCTATTTGCTATCTAAGGCTAATTTCCTTGTTTGTTTGATTCTAGCTTCAGACAAGCTCCCTGAAGTCTGCACAGGGTCTGACTGGTGTGGAATCTTTTAAATGTGATGTGTGTGATCAGAGTACATTCTCCCAGGTCCTGTCTGTCTGAGCTGGGGATGGGTCTTCTTGTGAAGAGAGAGATGGAGAGGGGGTGGGAGGAGAACAGTAAGCATAAGCCATCCATTTAATTTAATAGACGTTGAGGGAAAGCAATTTGATTTTGCCTGTGTAGTTCAAAAACAGAAATGACTACCCTAAAACAGGAAGGATCCCAAACTGATCAATGGGATTCTTGATTGACCTTCCTAAAAGGCAATGGCTAGGCTCATTGGCCATGGAGAAACAGCTACTCCTTTTGACTGGAAAGGGGATGAAATATGGAGGAAGGCTGTCAGCCTGAATACCAATCAGAATGTTAACGGCTTCTATGCTATCAATTAACAGCCAAAAAATACTGCCTCGAGGCTGCAGCTTACTTCTCAATATCCTTTTTTTTTAGTTTCAATTACAGTTTTTTCTTAAAAGTCATAAACCTGTCAGACAACTCAGGAACTAACTTTATTATTTCTCTTTAGCCACTCCATCTCTCCAAGGCAGAACTCAATTTGTTTATGATTTACTGGTACTTACTGATTTCATCCACATTTTTAAGGAATTTCTGCAAGTCTTTCTCTTGATCATCAGCCATTGTGGGACAAATTCCTAAGGGAGGCAGCATAAATGATGAGATTAATAATAAAACACTAAACAGACCTGTCAGGCTTATTAGCCTTCTACGACTAAGAGCCAAGTGATTATTTTAAAGACAGATTTGTGTTCATAAATGTCATAAATAACAGCAAGGAGACTCATTTTATGCCGACTGTTGCTTAAGCCACTCATTATTTGTGGCGATTCTCCCAGAAAGGTGGCAGCCCTCCCTCCACTGGTGAAACTGCTCTGCAAATAATTCCTTCAAAGCCAATATGAACCACTGTGATTCAGGGACCTGCCATGAAAGAGAGAGCCGGAGAAGAGCAACTGACAGGTCGCCAGAGATAAAGGGCAATGCTGACTCCTGACTGGTCCTAACAGGCAGGCAGAGGCTTGGACCTGGCAATGTATCAGGTAATCAGAGACTGGACAATTTGCATCTAAATGTTTCTACTTGATTAAAATACACGCCTCTGGCTCCTTTTTCAAGAGAAGCTGTAAATTGCTGAAAGGATTACAAACTGATGCCAGCGGGTACCTGGTGTCTTCTCAAATCCTCTCAGAGGTACTTCTGATTTATCACCTCAGTTGTTCGAGTGAGAGGCTGCATGGTGTGCTCAGCAGTATCCAAAGATTCATCCACACACCATAAAGATCATCCAGAAAGCTTGTGCAACATAGGTGCCTCAAATTGGCTCGAGACTGTCAGTAAGCCTGGGACAGTGCTCAGGAGTGTGCATTTTAAACATACTCCCGGTGATTCTGACTCGCATGTAAATACTGTGGTGTCCTCGTGTAACACATCTGTGACTTCCAATTACAGATCTGCCGCGAGCAAGCTGTGAGTTACTTGCTCTGCGCCTCTGTGCCCTTATCTCCACCACTTACAAGCTAAAGTCACAACTCTTCTAGAAACAGTAATACAAACCTGGGGGACAATTTGGGGGCACCAGGCCTGAAATGGGTGATGTCTGAGGCGCCTTATCTATATAATGGGGGTGGGGCGGGGCGGGTTGGCTGATCGCTAAGGTATCTTTCCAGCTCAAACACAGCTCCCTCAGAAAAGCCGAGTGATGCGAATTAACTTGTCTAAGGGTACGCGGGCCAGAGAGAAGGCTGAGAACTTTAAAGGCGGGCCATCCCCTCTTCTCCCAGTGCATGGTCCCTGCGGCCAGTGCCACCCGCGGCAGGACGCGGAAGCCAGGGCAAGGACGTCGTCAAGGTGCTGAACGCTGCCCTCAGCAGAGCCTGAAACTGTCCGGGACCCGCACGACCAGCGCCGCCCAATAGCCCAGTGCAAAAGACTGGAGGGCAGGGCGGGGCCGGCAGCATGTTGCCCGGCAACCGCTCCCCAGCGTCCCCACCGCCGACCCAGTGTCCGTAGTGGACGTCCCAGCCCGCAGCTAGTACCGTACCATCTGCTGGGACACAAACCAGCAGCCTCTGCTCGGATCTGAGGGCCAGCCCAAGACAGGTCCAAAGGGAAACCCCAGCGCCACTGCTCTGCTCTGACTGACACGCCCGGGGCTGGACAGGAAGTGGCTGTTGCCAGCGGACTGTGAGTGGCCTAGGCTGGGGCACGGGGCGGGGGTTCCGGGCCAAGGTCAGGCCGGAAGGCGGAGGAAGCAAAGCACTGGTCGCTAAAGTAACACTGGGTCGACATCTGACCTCTTTTTTTCTTCTGAGAGGAGAGGATCTCACTCCCATTGGTTTAATATCCCATTGGTTTAATATCCCATTGGTTCAAAGTCTTCACTGGATTTGGGAGAGACAGTCGTGAATGCGAATCCAGTTTTATTTATTGATAAATGTGTGACCTTCAGAAATCTGGGTAACCTCTTTGAGGCTCAGTTTTCTCATCTATAAAATGGAGAAATGGCACGTTTTCATAAGGTTTATGATTAAAGTGTCTGGAACCGAGGAATAAGTGATTGGTGAATACAGAGGGAATCTTAGTAAGATATAGGGCTGAATGAGTTAAAGGATACATTCCTTACCATTCTGAATTGATGCACACACCCTTAGAAATTCCAGTATGTTTTTATAAACAAAAGTTAAGCATATAAAGCTCTAGGTTACTACAGGAGAAAAGCCGGTTTTGGGGAAACTTAAGATTAAAGTGGTGCTCAGAATTACTTGGGACTTCTTGTCAAACTTGCAGGTACTGTATGGAAACCTCTTTGATAGGGACTGAGGAGCCCCTGGAGATAGAACTTATCAGAGGACAGTGGGATCCAGGCATGCATGGCCAGCTAGATCCAACATTGATTCCAAGACTGACTTGTGGCCTAGTTCTCATGCATACCTGAGCCCTATGGAAGATGGATGCCTGAGCCTTGTGGAGGATAGAGGTCTATTTGAATTCTCCATGAAGACAGGTACACATGCAGCCCAGCCTTAGTACCCCCAGTGGAGTGTAGCACAAGGTGCCGGAGGCATGCTCCTCCCCTTGACAGCATAGTAAGTATAGATAGGATCAGCAGAGTGAGCCCTCCTGCACATAGTCTGCAGCCAAAGGCTGTGGGACTGGGGGACCAGCAGGACACAGTCACAGTGACTGGCCCAAGGGACCAAGATGTCTCATGAGAAGTAGCAGGAAGTTGAGGCATCTGGGCAGAGCAAGGTTTTTAGTGAGCACTGCTTAGGCGTAGTGTGGGGAGTCCCAGAAAGATATCAAGTACCTTAGAGTGAAATTAGAGCATGAACCAGTGACATTTTGGTTGTTTCTATTAGTATCATACCATTTTCCTCTCTGGCTTGTCAGCCCTTGAGTACGTGAAGGCAGTCTCCAATCTCAGGGTGTTTTTCATCATTTTGGGGCTGACAGTTTCAAATCACTTTCTGAGGCACTATTCTTTTCACCAGACTTTTTTACCTAGGTTCCAGAAAGACCTGCCTCCAATGACTCTACCACTCATTCATTCACACAATCATTCATCATATGTAAAAGTTCTACATCAAATGTGTTCCAGATGCTATGGAAGACTAGTAGGGTGAGCTTGATAAATACTTACCACACACAGAGTGATTATGAGCAGGGTGTTTGGAGCCATTCAGTCTGGGTTCAAATCTCAGCTCTCTACTTATTAGCATTTATTAAAATGTCATTAAGCACCTACTATGTACCTTCTACCATGCCAGGTACTGCACCTGATCTTTTTGCACCTGAGTACTACTAACACCAGTCTACTGCTACTACTAGGTGTGTGACCTGAACAAGCTACTTTATCTCTCTGTGCCTTAGCTGCCTCACCTGTAAAACAAGATTGTTAAATGACATCTATCCCATAGGGTTGCTGTGGGAGGTACAAGAGTTAATACAGGTTAATGTGCTCCCAATCATGCCTGGAGCATTATCAACACTCTGTAAATGTTACTGTTATAATTGCTACTGTGCTTAGTATACATTAGGCCAATGACCCTGACCCTTGACTCATTCTGGGTCAGCAGTCCTGGGGTTGATATTCTGCAGCAACATCCCTCCCTGGGCACCTTGAGTGACAAAGTACAGACATTTTATTAAATGCCACAGATGCAGTGAATTGCAGGTGGTACTTAATCATCAGACCCAAGAAGCTTATCACTGAAGGAAGTAAAGGTCATCAAAAATGATAATTTAAATTCACATAGTGATAAGTGTTATATGAAATAAAAGGTGAAAAGCAAAACTAGCAAAGGGTACAAAGAAAGTCTAACCACGATGACTTGAGGGGTGAGAGGCATGGTCACTTGAAGAGGGAAGTAGAAACAGTACAGCATGGGCCAGCAGGAGGGAGCTCTGAGGCTGAGGAACCCACAGAGGCTATGCTTGGCTGCTGTCCAGAGAGCAAGAGATGAGAAATGCAGGATGAAGTGTGGCCAGCCCCAGCAGGGCCTTTGAGAGCTGTGTGAAGGTTTGGGGTCTTTATCTTGAGCACTATGAGCCACCTCTGTGGGGTTTTAGCAGAAGAGAAACATGCTTTGATTTTTTTTAATAGAATATCATTCTGGGTGTAATATGGAGAATAATCTAAAAGCAGGCAAGAGGGATGTTAGGAGACAATTTAAGAAGTTGTTGATAGTGGGAAGAGAGGTGAATTTGAAATTTATTTTGGGGGAGAATTGACACCAGGGAAGTATCAGCAATGACACTGGGTTTCTGGCTTGAGCCAGCCTGTGACTCTCCATTGGCTGAGATAGGGAAGACTAGGGGAGAACCAGGTTTGGAGAAAAGATGAGGCCAGATTAGTCATATACAGTTCAAAATGCTTATGAGTTACCCACCTGTACATGTTGGCTACATTGATCATTGCCCCTTAATGTGTAGCAAGCAGGCACAAGGTGTCTAGAATAGACTGTGCTTCCTACCTTTCCTTACATATAATTAAGTTTTGGCCAATTAGATATAAGCAGGAGCATTGGTGCTATTTCTGGGAATTATCCTAGAAGAGGATTCTTTTTCTTGTCTTTTTTTTTTTTTGCTAGTTGGAGTGTGGACACAACGGCGAGAGCTGCATCAGCTATTTTAGACCACGAGGTAGAAGCAATTCGTTGAGGATGGAAAACTACAAACTAGGATGACTATGACATTGCTGTACTGGATTTGGACTGCCCAACCACATGTTTTTGTTGGCAAGGGACATTTTAACCCCAACAATATTTCAGAAGCTGGGAATATGAAGACTTTGATCTTGTTTAAGTCACTGCTCTGTGGGGTTCTGTCACTCCCAGCCATATTTAATGTTAACTGATATGAAAGGCACTATTCATTCCTTCAACTAATGTTCTCTTAATGCACATATCCTTACTTTTTATCTTAAGTCTAAATAGTCGCAATGTTGTTATACTGGCACAATAGAAATACTAATATTTTGAAATAAAACACACGGTGATTTCTAAATGCATCTTAACCAGTGGACTCTAAACAACAGAGCAATTTGACACTGAACTCATACAATTAAGATTCTAATGAGTAATGTTTTCTTTATAGTTAGACATTATATTCTTTCTTCTCCTGGAAGTCTTATTTCCATTTCATACCTCCCTACTCAGAGCGTTGTCCTCATATAGGATACCCTTATGCTCAGATGTCTTTGATCATCTCATCATACTTCTCTGCCACAGAAATATCCATAGACATGGTGGAGTGTTTGCTGTGCTGAGAGCCTGTGCCGTGAGCACTCCTCTGTCCTCAGTGAGCTCAGCATCCCCCGAGGAAGACCAGTACATTAATGAGAAATTACAGAAGAGCGCCATAAGGGCAGTGATAGTCCGATGCCTGAAGAAGGGGAAGGAGGAGGAAACGGTATGCTGCAGTAACAAGTCCACAAGCTTTATGGATTATAACAAGAAAGGCCCATTGCTCACCTGTTCTACATAACCATGAGCATATTTTCATGGTGAGGTGGAGGCTGAGGGAGTGGGAGGGCCCCGGGCAGAGGGGAAATTTAGAGGCAGAAAACTTGTGGTGTGTAGAAAACAGAAAAGTTCAAGGCAAGAATGGTGAGAGACGAGCCCAGAGATTGGGTGGGGGATTTCAAGGAAGGAAGCCTTAGGAAGAGTATGAAGCAAGGAAAGGACAAGGCAAGAACGAAGGTGAGAGGTGAAAGAGTTACCTGGGCAGCTGTCACACACAAGCAGCAGCGAGGGTGTTTGGTCCTGGGTTGGGCTAGAACAAAAACACTCAGCAGCCTCTGATTGCTGGGCTGGTGGCCTCTTCGGGAGTCCCTTCATCTGGTGACTCCCACACAGACGTCTGTGGAGCCCAGACTTCACATCAAACCTCAACCCTAAAACCTGACAGGATAACTACACTAACCCAACAGGATAGCTGACTGTTCTTTCTTGGGAGGAGAGATTTTGCTTCATTTTGTCTTTGTGTTGCCAACACACTGGCATTTAGTTGGAGCTAAATAAAGATGTGTTGACTAAATGAACTAATCTCTCGCTGTGCTTAGAAAGCTAATACGTGTTATTATAGATAGAAATGGAACGGGAGTGTTTAGGTTTTCTTGCCTCAGGCATCCCAGGTGGTTCTTCCTGGAGGACAAGCACTGTTACAGTCACAAAATACTTTGTGGTATACACTTTCCACGTGACAGATTGACCACTTTAAAGTGTCAGAAGTCCCAGTAAACCAGTAGCTGAGCCATCCACAAAGATTTCAATTATCTTTCTCTCAGGCACAAGTAGGGTCTCAGTTCTCTATGGCCTCGTGACTTGCTTTGACCAATGCAGTGTG